GGCTGCCTCAGAGGAGTCCAGGAACCATCTTATCACCTGCAAACTGGCTGACCCATGCGAGTGCTGCTTGTGGGACCGATTAAGTCCTTTGGATGAAGGACGAAACGTCTCGACACAAAAAGACCTGACTGAACTTTGTTGGACCTTGTTGTGTTTTATGTCTGCTCTCTCTTCTGCTAGAAACAGATCAAATGTATATTTACATCCAAACTCTAACAGCTCGTTTCTGTCCAGGTTTATATAAATCAGAAAGCCTTAGCTGTCTTTACCTGCTCTCTCCTTTAGTGTTTGAGGGCGGAGGGTGCAGGACAGTCTGGTTGTCCTCCATGTCCAGCACACATTTAGTGTTCAGCTCAATCTCTGCAGCAGGAGAGAGTTTCATGAAGCGCAGTGAGGACAGGAGGCTCAAAGCTCCACCAGAATCAAGAGACGAGAAGAGAGCGAAACGTTCAGAATGTGCCATGAAATGAGAAGTTTATCGACTTACCCCTGCGGTTCATGGGCCGAACTCTCACTGCAACTTTTACCTTCGAGCCGGACATTTTCGTCCACTTTTAATTTTCTGTTTGCTCCCACCCTGTCTGTCCGCAAGTCTCAAATATTCCCGACAAGCTGCGCGGAGTTCAGCCCGAACAAAAAGCAGGAAAGTCGAGTTGAAGCAGCCCCAGAGGAGTCCAGAGCTGGAGACAAGATGTCGGAGGAAGTTCATTAACAGAATAAAACCAGAAGTCTGTTTAAATCCAGCCGGGTAGGAGCCTGGTGCACACCGAGCCCGCTGCTCCAGCCCCGGACAGCAGCAGCATCTCCACCGCCATCTTCCCCCGGAGCCCCGCGCCAAACTGGGGGGAGAAGGGTTAACCACCGCGGCGCTTACTGGGAGGAGAAACCAGGGGAGGAGGAGGCACCCGGAGGAGGAGACACCCGGAGGAGACACCAGGGGAGGAGACACCCGGAAGAGGAGAAACCATGGGAGGAGACACCCGGAGGAGGAGAACCCAGGGGGAGGAGACACCCGAAGGATAAACCAGGGAAGGAGACACCCGGAGGAGGAGAACCCAGTGGATGAGACCACAGTTGAGACACCCAGAGGAGGAGAAATCAGGGTAAAAAAAAAACAATGGAGGAGAACTCACAAGAGGAGAAACCGGGGAGGGAGTAACAACAGATGAGGAGGAGAACCGAGGAGAGGAGATACCAGAGGAGATGGAACCAGAGGAGCAGTAAAAAAATGGGAGGAAGGAAGAACAGAGGAGAAATCAGAGGAGAGACCAGGTAAAGAGGAACAACAGAGGAGACAATGTGGGACACCCCAACAGTTTTGAGGTGCTGAGTCATTATTAAAAGATGCTACTCTTTAATTATAAGATGCTTCTCTTTAATTATAAGATGCTTCTCTTTAATTATAAGATGCTTCTCTTTAATTATAAGATACTAAGCTATAATTAAGATGCTAAGTTATAAT